CTCCTCTCCTCTTGTTTCCTCCTCTCCTCCTCTCCTCTCCTCCTGGCTGCCTGGATCTTTATTTACTTCAGTCATTAGTTGCTGAATTTCTTCAAATAAAACTGTAACGATCAATATTCTGATCTCACCAAACCAAGAATAGCTCTTCAGTTGCTTGAGTTTTTAGTTGTTGTATTGTATGTTCAGTACACCAACACTTCCTACAGATCAGTCCTCTGACAACAGTAAAACACAGCAGGTGACATCACGATGTGCATCACTCCTGTCTTTGACTTGAAGTAAAAAAGAATGACACTCGTCTTTACTTTGTCCTTGGGAAACTTCCAAAACAATCTTTTTTTAATGCCTGATCCCTCGCTGGCAGTTTTCTGCAGGCGCGTCCAAACATCCAGGAGTCATTGTGTCCAGGAGAGACATCGTGCTCGTAAAGTTTCCTCCTTGATGAGGAGAAGAAGAAGAAGAAGAAGAAGAAGAATCCCTCTGTGGGGTGGAGGACGGTCTGTGTAAAACCTCCTTCCAGAGAAATGTCCTCTGAAGCTCCTTTCCCTCTGGTCAGAAGACCTGCGAACACCCACTAACATCAGACTACAGAGGGAACAATCAGCGGTCACGCCCGGGTCACATGTCTGACAGTAGACAGAGGTGTTTACGGGCTCAGGCTCTGATTGGCTGTGACGTAAACACAGCACAGGAGAGCTGTGATGACTCTCAGAGAACACACTCTGTCTAATCAGTTCATCCTTGAGTCCAGGTGGATATTTGAGCTGTTCCTGAGGCGGACGACCTGAAAACGCACTAAACAAACAGGAAGCACTGCTCCACCTGAGTCTCTGTTTGATGACCTCACAGGATGACATCATGGTGTACGTGTGTCATCTTTTGGCTCCTGGAAGAAGGATGTTTGTGTGCAGGATGGAGGAGAGTTCAGCAGCTCGTGAACTGTGTATTTGTTTCCAGATTTACTGTTCCAGATGTTGGAGCTCACACCGTTGCATCAATAATCCCCACCCCCCTCCATGGGCTCATGGAGCAGCAATCTGATTGGCTGTTCATGTTTAATGACTTTACTCAGCTCTCTGACCCCCCCCCCCACCCAACACACACACACACACACACACACACCCCTGGCTCTCTGCTCCCCCAACTTTAAATTACTTTCTTCATTTTGATGCTCAGAGCCAGGTTGTGGTTCTTATTAGAGGAGTTCATGCGACACCCACATCCATCACGGCCACAGTCGCCCCCCAAGGAAAATCACACATATGTGACCTACATACTGGAGTTACTCTGTTCATCCAACTGAGCCACTCAGGAACCTCTGTCAGTGATTCACTGATACACACATCTGTCCTCTGCAGTGTGTGTGTGTGTGTGTGTGTGTGTGTGTGTGCGCGTGTATCATACGTTTGCTGTGTGTGTTGCAGGTGGTGTGTGTGGTCCATAACTTCAAAGGAAAGTTGCTGCTGAGTGAGGAGTCACCAGCGGAGCAGCGGCCCAACACCGGCATGCTGAACATGGGCCGAGTGGAGAGTCCTCTGGAGAAGTACATCGCCTCACAGGTCGGTGCGACGACACACACTCAGAACACACACCTTTATATGTCCTGGTTACAGTTGATCACCTGTTCATGTGGGAATGATGAAAGTGTGTATGAATGAGCTCATACTGAACATCAGGGTCAGACTGATATTAACTCAAAGATTCACTGGTTTCTTCTGAATTTTATAAACCTGGTTCAAGACTTCTAAACTCAGAGGCCCAGGTCAGACCAGTCCAGACCAGGTCAGACCAATCCAGACCAGGTCAGACCAGGTCAAACCAGTCCAGACCAGGTCAGACCAGGTCAAACCAGTCCAGACCAGGTCAGACCAGGTCAGACCAGGTCAGACCAATCCAGACCAGGTCAGACCAGGTCAGACCAGTCCAGACCAGGTCAGACCAATTCTCTCCCTCTCCCTCTCTCTCTCCCCCTCTCTCTCCCTCTCTCTCTCCCTCTGTCTCCCCTGCTTGAAGAAAGCCAATCAGAGCTTTGCAGGTGGAATCAGGAGTGAATCATCTTCCTGTGTCAGAGACTGAAAATGATGGAGATGGAACCAGTTCATCAGTCGCTGCTGTTTGATTTGAAAACCAAAAACAACATTCAGGTTGTCGTGACAACCCTGTCTCAGCCCAGAAGCTTTTATTGGAGCTTTCACCCACATGTTGTGGTCTTCATTAGCAGACAGGTGACCGTGATAACAGGTCGTGGGTCTCAGGCGAAGACACCTGAGCTGTCCACTCACTGATGAAGTCCACAACATGTGGGTGAAAGCCAGTAAGTCCACTGAGTTCAGATGACTGATGACTGGCATCTAGTCACAGGGACGTTTCCTCTCAGATCAACAGTGAATACAGTGTTTAAATGACGACACAGGATGTTACAGCTCCTCTTAGACCCAAGCTACTGACTTCTGCTCCAGTTAAATGTGACCTGACAGGTGTCACCTGCAATCACTCACCTGTGTGTGACGCTGCATGGAGGCAGGTGACTCCACTTGTTGAGTAAAATCAGACATGAACTTTCATCTGCTGCTGAAAGAATCAGTTTGATTCTTTGACAGTTTAAAGTCTTGAATCAGGTAAAAACCCAAACACTGCTCTGACCCTGGTGGACAGTTTATTTATATTTTAAACATACTCAGCAAACGCAAACTCTGTCTGCCCCCACACACACACACACACACACACACACACACACACACACGTCGCACTAGGAGACGGATGATGAGGATGAAGAGTCGTGCTACCTAAAGGAGCGTCTCTTGGCCTTCCTGCGCTGGCTGCGAGGTCTCGACTGGTTCCAGCGGCTCAGAAACAAAAGGCAACAAACTCTGACGTGGTTTCACTCCTGAGCTCTGCCAAATATCTCTGGACACACACACACACACACACACACACACACACACACACACACACACACACACACACAGGGTCTCAGTCTGGGGAGTTAGCAGACCCTGACCCAGCCGAGACTCAGATAGACCATGATCCTCAGCGGTGCACACTCCCTCCATGTTCCCACTGTGTACATGGTGATGTCGTCTTACTTAAAGGGTTAAAGTCATAAATACATATTATATACAAGAAGTGTGTTAAACTCAGACACTGTCTCCATCCATCCCCTGACCTCCTTTCACATGATCACCATTCAGCCAATATTATAATATTTCCCACCATATATGATCATTTTTCATAATATCAAGAAACGTCAACAAAATTAAAATACAATATAATCACATGATAAGAACCGGAACAGAGCAGCACTGAGATGTGTCTTCATTCTGAGGAACTTATGGTGCCGTTCTCTGACAGTGTTTGAACCATGTGGTTCATAAACACACAGGATTAACAACCACATGGCAGAGGATAACACACACACACACACACACACACACACACACACACACACACACACACACAGAAAGTGTTCAAATTTAAAATGAACATGTATTAACATGAATTAGTGAAACATCACCAGTGAAACTCTGGTGCTGTTGAATATGTGATGTGCTGTGTAAAGAGATCATCATGTTGTCACCATTACATTTAATATTAACAACAGCACAATATCATCTAAAGTAATTCTGCTTGATTATAACATGGATCTTTTCTCTGTCAACAACAACAACAACATGTCTGTGTCAGTCTGTGAGGAGATCATCAGCCACACAAACAAATGATCACACAGGCTGAAAAGAAAAACTAAGAAAAATAAATGTATTCCCCAGATTATCTGCAAACATCCATCAGACAGGACGTGCTTCCAGTTCGACCTCTCATTACCTCCACCACAGAGGTCATGTTTTCATGTTGGATAAAGTACTGAGCTGATTTACTCTCAACTTGGCAGTGGGGGGCGGGGGTGGTCCTGGCCCGGGGGAGAATCCTTTAAAGTTTGGGGCCGATCCAGATAATTAACTGTGAATGAGAATTTTTTCTCTGAAGTCTGGTGTGTGTTGTTTGACAGTGGCCTTGGGGGGGGGGGGGGGGGGGGGGGTCTTGTGCTCTCTGGGTATAAATATTAAAGCCCCATCTGAATAAGTGTTAACATAACAGGGAGGAGGGGATGAACTGTTCACTGCGCTCCTCTGTAATTGAACTCTTTGTTCCAGACGCTGTTTCAACATCAGGTGATTATAGGATGTGGTGTGTAAGAGAACTCACCTGTAGCTGACAGTCAGCAGAACAAAGACGGAAACAAAAGCCAGAGACTGTGAAGCAAATCATCCTCCTCCTCCTCCGAGTCATGATCCAGTCAAATGTTACAGTTCCTCTCCGTGTTTAACCTCTGTAACAATCCTCTGCTCTGATTCATATTTAGTTCAATATGTTTTCATGCATAAAAACTGGGTCTGAAGCTCGTCTCCACTTCCTGGTTGATAAACCTGGATCCGGCCTTGAGCCCCGCCCACCACCTGCTGGCTCCAGGTGGACAGGTGAAAGAGCAGAGAGCATCAAGATGGTGAGAGGAGGAAACATCAGAGAGACTCAGCCACATGTTTGAGCCTCAGTCAGACCCAGACTCAGAGGAGGAGTCTGAGACCAGAACCAGAGACTAGCAGACGGATCAGAACCGTTAGCACAGTTAGCATCTTGTATTTGTTGATGTTGTTTGTTAGCTTGTAACTGGCAGTGGTGTGATTCTACCTGAGGTGATCAGACTAGGTGACGTTAAAACTTCCTCACAGACATGACTCCTGTCCAGAAAGACAGACGCACTAAATTATAAATAAAGGACAAGAATGATAAGAATGCAGATGTGAAAAGATGAAAGGACATCAAACCATTCGCCTCTGGACATGACTCTTTGTTGCGTGTCCTTCACCATCCTTCTCCCGTCACTTCCTGTCGTCTTTTCACTGTCTACTTCTGTAATAAAGGCAGAAAAAATCCCCCGAATCTGACTGATGGAGGAATCTCTGTCTCCACCCGGAGTCTGGATCCTGCAGGAGATTCAGGAGCACAGGCTGTTTTCATAGAAAGCCTTTAGACTCTGCAGTAAAGTGTGCAGGTCTGCAGTAAACCCTCACTCCTGTACCAGTTCTGAAACCATCATCTGATATGAATCTACTGACTGAACATAGTGATGTAAGGAAACACATCACCACAGTCCAGTAGAGACAAGAACATAGACTCAAGCTTTTGTTTGGAGGTTTATTGTTTTCATTTCAACTTTGACCTCTGATAACGAGCTTTAGATAATCCTGTTGTTCCCAACCCGTCTGATCAGCTGACTGCTCCTCTTTTTATTTCTGTTTCTTCCTTGGGAAGCCTCCACACAGCGGTCGCTCGTCTTCCTGGTGTCACACAAACAATTATTAAAATCACATTATATCAACAAAGCAGAAAACAAACCATCAACAGAAGCCAAACATCTACATGTAAAACAATGAACTGTAACAACTTACAATTAACACTAAGTCCATTTCAGTGAAACCCAGTTTTCCTCACTGGTGGAAATGCAGCCACATAAAGAGTCATAGTGGAATAAAGAGGAATCTGCCTTGAACATGTCTGTGTGTTGGTCAGACAATCTGTCTGACGTCTTGTTCCACAGACACAAACCAGTTTAGATCCAGTTCAATGTCCAGAGAGTTTGGCAGGTTTGGGTTGAAGTGCTTTTTCTGTTTTCTCTGCATCTGAGTGAAATCTCTATTTTTACAGCCTGTGATTTCATGGCAGCAGAGCTGTGTGTTTCTGCTCTTTCTCTTGTCTCATCCTCTAACCAGAAACACATTTAGCAGTGAAATGCAGACAATACACAGCTCCTATCTGATGATTCAAGCCGCAGCCTCCCGCTAAAAAGCCTGCGCTCAGTTGTCTTACAAAGAGCAGAAAATCTCACACTCTCACCTCGGCGTCGATGGGCTCGGTGGAAAATTGCCCGCTCTAAAAATAGCTCGGCCTAAAAGATGCCTGGAAGCCAAACAAGCCACAGTGAACAAAATGCCACGGCAGGATGGAACCTCTGAGCAGCAAAAAAAAATGATTCACACGCTTTTATTTAGCTGCTTTTTCTTCTTCAGTGGAGTGGAGTGATAACGCTTTGTCTCTGTCACAGGCTGAACCTCACCGGCTACGTATCATTTCCCTGAAAGATAAATGTGTGAAACCAGTTAATGATTTGATTCAATTTCTGCAAAAAACCCCCAAAAAACACTCGTTTGGCTTTAATGAAGCACGAAGGAGAAAGTGACAGTCTCGTTCTGAGGCTGAATTATTGGTTTCTTCATTAGAAACAACACGAGAAGAGATTTCCTCTGATGTAAATACTAATATCTCAGTCAGATGAAAAGTCTGGAGGAATCCATATCAGTTCATTGTCTGTACGACTCCTCAGAGTGTGTGTCAGATACTGAACACACACTCTCCTCAGTGACGATGTCCTTGCTGATAAGACGCACAGAGATAACCCAGTCCTCCTTTAACACCAGACTGTTCATGTGCTGCAGCAACATCAGACTTATACTTATTAAACTGGGTCATCTTCCGCTTCTACAACCAGCTGCAGTGAGGAATCAGCCTGGTATCGGGGATGGTATTAGCATGTTGTCAGTTCATTAATCCTCATTAAGGAGGACGATAACGAGCGGGAGGCGAACCAACAGACCGCTGCATGGGGTTATTTAACTAGCAGTGTGAAAACACCAGGGACAGTTTGATCCGTCATGTGTCAGTGGACATGAAGCAGCTCAGTGCAGCTGAGAGTGAGAATCATTAAGAGTTAGCATACGATGCTAACTGAAGACTCACACAGGCATCTGTCATTAATAAGTGAGGGAGGGGTTAGAGGGTTAGTGAGGCTGATATTCGATATATCTTTCATAATATAGATGATTTTCTTTTGTTTAAAAAAAACACCTGAAATATTATTATAATTAATATTATATTTTACAGGAGAACATAATATAACCCAGAAACAGACTCACTGCTGAGAGAGAAACTGCTCACACGTTTAACACAGTCGCTGGAAAGACAGCGGATCATTTCCTGCAGCTGAGAAACTAAGAGACTAATTATTTACCTGTCACTTCGTATACGATCTAATAAACTAAAAGCCCATCCCCACTACAGATCGATCCAGTCTTCATACTTTAATGACAAACAGCAGAAGAATGTGAAGAGTCTTCTCAGCCTGAACCGTCCACCTTGTCCTCTCCTCTGTAGCTGCTTCAGGAAACAGAGAAACACTCTCCAGGCTTCCACCCTCCTCCTCCTCCTCCTCCTCTCTGAGGTTGGATTAGAAAACCAGAGCCTCTAGTCTCCATGAACAACCATCCCCCTGCCTCTGATTCTTACTGTCATTGTTTGAGATGCTGTGGAGGTCTGAGCCTGTTTCTACCAGAACTGCATGAGAGTGACTGCAGTGCAGTGATGATGTGTTTCGTGTTCTTATATTTTAAGGGAAATGTCATTGTTCTTTTAACCTGGTGTATTCTTGGTAGACGTGACCTCTCTCGGTCTGAGTGCTGCTAACGCTGCTGTGCTGTAGAGATTCAGGGAACGTTTAGTAAGAAAGCCTTAGAAATAAGCAGCAGCTGGAATAACTAACTCCATCAGACATCTACATCCAGGTCAACGAAAGTGCACAACATGTTTTCCCAAAGCTCCACAACAGACGACGTGAATCCATCAGGTTAAAATACATCATGTCTTTTATTTTCTCTGCTGTGACGTTCATCTGAAAGACTCTGATTCTGACTTTCCTCTCCTGTCCCCCCCCCGCAGAATCACATCGCCTTCGCTGAGGTCACATGACGTGGAGTCGGCCGTGTGGCAGACCCATTGGACGTCCACGCTCTTCACCGTCCAATCCAATTAACCGGAGCACAGCGCTAAACCCATTCTGTGTGTGTGTCTGTTCTGCGGTATGTTGTTCTATGTCGTCTTTATCGGGCCCCCGTCGTCATTCAGCTTCTTGTATTTAAGGAAAAAAAGAAAGAGACTCAGCCGGACAGGCTGCTTCTGCCTCCTCCATCTATGCACTTACTCAGAATCCCTGACAGAATCCAAAACCCGGAGCGGACTTGTTGCACACTGGGACACGAGAGGAACGAGTGAAGAGTCTCCACTCTGAGGTCAAACTTTTCCTCTTGGTTTATTCTGTGTGTGGAAAGTGTCCGGTCAGCTGACTGAGAGTCTCTGAACCTCTGGTGTTTCCTCCTTTCAGCTTCTGTTGTCACATCAGCTTCATAACGTTCAGAGGAACAGCTGTGAACATCAGGATGACGCTGACCGCTGGGCCCATATTTATCAAACTAATTCAGTGAAATATTGGACCTAAATCAAAGATAAAACTAAATACTTCATTTCTTTTTAAAATGCTCCTGAGTCTAACAGCTGCAGGTGGATCCAGTTGTTTAAGAGAAGCATCTTTGGTTCTAGATCAGAGATGGAGGAGAACACTGTTCAGTGTGTCACAGGTCACGAGGAGCAAAACATGAAGTCAAGCATCAGGAGTCAGGAGTTCAGGAGGTCAGGACCAGGACGAGGGTCTGATCCAGATGTAATGTCACATGTGGATCAGGTCTCAGTAACTGTCTCAGTATCTAATCTCATATGAACCTGATCCATAAACGTCTCCACAGACGCAGCCTGGTTTTCACACTTCATGTCTCTTGAATATGTTGCTGAGCTAGCTGCTAACTGGCAGCTCGGTGGGTTACTGTGGCTAATGTTAGCAAGTTCATGGCTATCAGGTAGTGAGCCACCAGGCTTCTTGTGCCACCTGTTTCAAAGGCCCACAGGTGAATCAGAGCAGCACCTGTACAGTGTGTGAACCTGGAGGAGTTCCTGCTCCAGTTTGGTTTCTTTTACTTCCTGTAATTACGTCTCTGTTTACAAGCTGCACCTTCCACAACACCTGTTCATGAGGTTTGGGAAGTGTGCACGTTGGCTCCTTTACATCCTGTGATTACCCACAACACCTTTCTCTCTACTAACCCTAACCCTGCGGTGAAGTCAGACACTTCATCAGCTGATCACCTAAACTTTAACTTTGATAAATATGGGCTCAGATCAAAGCAGCCAATCAGGAGAGCTGCTGACGTCATGTGTTTGTAGTTGTGTCATTTTGTTCTCTATGAGGGTTTAGAGTGTGTGTGTGTGTGTGTATATGTACAGTGTATGTATGTACACACACACATGAATGCGGTCAACTCCAACCAATGAAAACACTACACAAAGCTGTCAAGGGTTTCTCAGCCACTCAAGACAATCCCCCCCCCCCCCCTTCTTTATCTGTTTCTCTTTATCTTAGAAAATAAAATCTACAGCTGAGATTTTCCCTCTTCTCTCAGAGATAGTTTTTATTCATGACCTCTGTCATGAAACAACATGGAGACACGCTGGGCTGCTTCACGCTGGGGGAGACGGTCTCTACGGTCCCATCTCACAGCCAATCAGGACGTGGTCACCTCTCGTTGTGTTTCTATCATGTAGCTCAGAGTCATTTTACTGGAGTCTGATTTAAACATGAATCATAAGTGTCTTCTAGTGTATAAATGTAAGAGAACGTCGGACATGTTCCTCTCACACTGAGAACAGCAGCTTCATCATGTCGGCCACAGTTCAAGGGACGTTTCATTAGTTTGTTTTCCTCAGAGTCACATGAGAAGATTTATTTCCTGCTGGTTTTATCTGTGGACAGTAATTAGCCTAGCTTAGCACAAAGACTGTTCAGTTATGATTTTCTTTATCATGTGTTGTCTTATCACCCAGCTTCTCTTTTTATATGTTAAAGACATGAAAGAACTTTTCTTCTCTTGATGTAGCTCGACTCTCTGGACACAGATGATTCATATTCTCTTGTTGCTCTGAGTGAAACAAACATCAAAGAGTAAAGTAAGAACGTTGGATTTGTCTCTGTTAGCCTGTTAGCCTCTTTTAGCTCATTTGTTTTATTTCACTGTACAGTTTTAGAGTCTGAGTCTCTGTCATCAACACCTGTAGAAAACAGTTTCTAAGCTTGAGGACGTTACCTGGCTGTTAGCATCAGTTTGTGGCTGTAGTGTGCTGCTGTGGATCGACCGATTATCGGATGCAATAATCAGCAATTACTTGTGACATGTAACCAATCACGCTGAAGGTGTACACAGACGCCACAGCACAGAGCTGTTTGTCGTATGTGAGACAACAGACACAATCCTCGACACTGAAGTTACAGAAACAAATATTGGTTATCGGTCTCATTGATAACTAATAATCCACATCAGAATCAGCCCTGAAAAAACATCGGTCGACCTCCATGTGCTGCCATTACATAATCATCACAGAGCTAACCATCTGTTTCTGCTTCACCATTATCAACAACTCAACCAATCAGAATACAGACCAATGTGTTTGTCTTCCATCAGCACTCTGAGCTCCTCCAGCTGCCGTGCTAATGACACAGCCAAGACTTCTGGTCATCTAGTCGACAGATTTGTTGGGTTCTTATCTTTCAGAGAAACTGATGCTTCGCTCTTCAGATGTAATGGTAGCACAGTACGGAGCTAGCTAGCTAACTAACAGACAGACAAAGCTAACGATTTACTGGAGAACATGTGGAGCATTTAGCAGCTAAAGAGCCAGATGTTTTTGGTTTTTTTTTTCTCAGGAGATGTTGGAGAAAAAAGTAGAGTAAAAGAAAAGTGACTTAGATTCATCAGATGGACACAAACATAACTGTTAATGAGTGAAGAGAAAGTGGTTTAACCATCAACAGGTTTGTCAAAGCCAGTGCTGTATCTCCTTTAGGTTGTTTTGATGTTGTTGTGTCCCCTAGTGGCCAAAATGGAAAATGCAGCTTTAACTGGTTCATCAATTGATTAATTTACTGTCCTTTGATTAAATCATTATTTTAAGCAGTAACTAATATTAATGTTGATAATAATTGGACACGTATTTAAGTGCCATTGCTCGTCTGTATTGAATCTTCTTTTTCGTAGCAATAACTCGTCAGGATTTCTGTCCCATCAGGAGAGAGGAGAAGAAAACAGAGAAGGTCTAATTCTGTCGCCCCTTCAAATCTCTATTTTTATAATAATCACTAAAGCACTTATGAATAAAAAAAAGGACTCGACATGCAAACAGCAGCACTTTAAAATCGAGCTGTAACTCCTCTCATCGCTAAAGAAACGTCTCTGCTGCTTGAAAACTAACGTCACACTGAATATTCAGGGCTCCAAGAGAAACACAGTCTGCTCACATGTGCATTGCAACGGCTACTAAACTATCCTAGTATATTTAAAAGAAAAGAGAACTGTAAAAATGTATATGTTTAAAATTATAAATATAAATATATATATATATCATTTTGGTCATATTCTACATTAACGCTGTCTATTTTCGTATGACTGTGCACTGTGTGAGCGTTCACCATCTTTTCTCCTCAGATAGCTGTTTCTGCTTCTTCATGTTATTTTACTGAGATGAGGTATATTTCATGTTATTGTTCAAAGTTACATTTTTCTACTGTGTTTTGTGAATAGTGACCTTCATGTTTGTTATGTTCATATTCTGTTCCTGACTCTGCTGTAATGAGTTTCTTCTGAGGCGTAAATCATTCACTTTTCTAAACTGGTGGTTTTTGTCTTTTTTCTCCATCATGTTTTGTTTTTGTTTTGTCTCTAGTGGATCATTTTCTATGGATGTTGTTACTCTTCTGATTCTTTCCTGGTTCTTTTTATATTTTACATGTTTCTTTTTAAAAGTTCTCTTCTTTTCAACTTGAGTTCAAATTGTGACCTTTTACACTGTAGGAAAAAAAGAAATTTACAGCCTTTGAATAAAAAACGTTGAAATGATTCAAACATTTGTCTCCAGAAATAGTCTCATTCTTCTGTTTTTAAAGCAAAGTCACTTGTTTTATGTGAGATCTGTTTTATGATTCCAAGATGTTTTTCAAACCTCCATAGTGTCAGTTCAGTGTTTCAGTCACACACACATACATGCATCCCATCTTTCCAACCCTCCCTTAATTGCTGAATCAAGTCACTTTGTGAATTTGTGTTAAGGAACAGTGGGGACTGGGCATAGATTAAATAGATTAAATATCAACTGATCAACACACACACACAATTCCTTTTGTTTAGACTCACCAGGAACAGAGATGCTGTTTGACTGTTTCTGGCTGGACTGCAACAGTGGAGCCAGCCCTGTAATTGACTGACTGACTGAGTGATGGTATTTCTACCGCTGCTCAGCGGAACTACCGGGAGCTACAGGGAAGAGGAGGAGCGCTTACAATACACAGAGCATCACCTCCATTATAGCATTTATGTGTTTTATACCATGACTTTTTTGTACATTACTATACGATGACATTTTTATGGCATACTATATTTTATACAACAGTTACTTACAACCAAGTAATCTGATTGGATGACAGTCATTCCATGAGTGCTGATATAGAGTAAAACAGCACTATATCACTCCGCTTCAAAGGTGTTGTATTAACCGTTAATCATCGTCACATTAACGGTTGTTATCTATATTATTGGTAACAAACTTTGAAAAGGTGAAAATATTTCAGAAATAACATTTGAATTAAGAGAAGAAGGGTTGTCAGAAGAGGATGAATGAATAATCCTGGATACTTCAGCACACACCTGAGGTAAGGTAAACAAAGAAGAAAACCAGTGTATACTGTGCAGGTCAAGAAATTGTTTATATGTTGCTTGGCAACAGTTCACTACCATTCCAGTTGTGGAAGTATTTGTGTTGGCATAAACAAATAAATGATGAAATGAACAAACAAACTTTTGTTTTTTGGAATTTTTATGCCGTACTATATTATGACAATTGTTGACATTTTTGTACCTAACTATTATATGACATTTTTATGCCATGAATACTATGATGTTTTTTGAGATTTTTATGCCATGAATACTATGATGTTTTTTGAGATTTTTATGCCATGAATACTATGACGCTTATTGACATATTTGTGCCTTATTATATGACATTTTATGCCATACAATACTATGACATTTTGTGACATTTTTTTGCCATACTATACTATGACGTTTTTTCACATATTTATGCGATACTATACTATGA